TGTTATATCTCAGGAACTACTGGACCGATCGAGCTGAAACGGCGCACCAAAGTGAAGTTTAATCATAGCTACCATGAGCCAAAATTTCAGATTTTTATCGACAAATTTCACCGTATTTATGTGGAATTGTCTAAAAATTAATCATCAAAATGTCGAATTTTCACCTCCGTAAATTTAGCGAAATCGAGTGATTTGGCAGCCATTTTGAAAACACCTAAATTATGTGCTATTTATGTACTTTTTTTTTGGTATCCAAAAATTTTTTGCTATGCTGGGGTAGTGGAAAATGAGGAGGGAAGCGTCGAAACCCATTAAACGCCATAACGGGAATTTTGGTTGGGCGGAGTAGTCCAAAGATGCATGGAAAATTATGTGCTCATCAATATTCGTAAGCACAAATGATTTTTATTGCCAATAGCAACGTGTTGAATTATTTGTTATCAATGAATCTTCTTGTTCTCCTATGTCTACTGAATCGGATTTATAAATGCCTCGAGATTAATGTGCCCATCAATATTAGTTAACAAAAATGATTTTTATGGCAAAAATAGTTGTGTTGTATTTTTTATCAAAGACAGACAGAGTCACATGACTTAGGCCCACAGACTAGACTGTGGGCCTAATTTTGGGATACCAAAAAAAAGCACATAAATAGCACATAATTTAAGTGTTTTCAAAATGGCCGCCAAATCACTCAATTTCGCTAAATTTACGGAGGTCGAATTTTCCAGCACATATATACAGACATGACCTNCATCAATATTAACCAACAAAAATGATGTTTATGGAAAAAATAGTTGTGTTGTTTTTTTTATCAAAGACAGACCGAGTCACATGACTTAGGCTCACAGACGAGACTCAGCTCACGCAGTATGTCTATTGACTTGGACTTATCAATAACTGGAGATTTATGTGCTCATCAATATTAACCGACCAAAATGATTTGTACGGGAAAAATAGTTGTGTTGTATTTTTTATCAAAGACAGACCGAGTCACATGACTTAGGCTCACAGACGAGACTCAGCTCACGCAGTATGTCTATTGACTTGGACTTAAAAATGACGGGAGATTTATGTGCTCATCAATATTAGCCAACAACAGTGATTTTTAAATAAAAAATCATGGTCTTGTATTTTTTATCAAAAACAGACCGAGTCACATGACATTGGCCCTCAGACTAGACACAGCGCATAAATTATGTCTATTGACTTGGACTTAAAAATGACGGGAGATTTATGTGCTCATCAATATTAGCCAATGAAAATGATTTGTATGGAAAAAATAGGGGTGTTGTATTTTTTATCAAGGACAGACCAAGTCACATGACACAGCTCCCGTATTATGTCTATTAACTTGGACTTATAAATGACTAGAGATTTATGTGCTCATCAATATTAACCAACAAAAATGATTTGTATGGAAAAAATAGGGGTGTTGTATTTGTTATCAAGGACAGACCAAGTCACATGACACAGCTCCCGTATTATGTCTATTAACTTGGACTTATAAATGACTAGAGATTTATGTGCTCATCAATATTAACCAACAAAAATGATTTTTATGGAAAAAATAGTTGTGTTGTATTTTTTATCAAAGACAGACAGAGTCACATGACTTAGGCCCACAGACTAGACTGTGGGCCTAATTTTGGGATACCAAAAAAAAGCACATAAATAGCACATAATTTAAGTGTTTTCAAAATGGCCGCCAAATCACTCAATTTCGCTAAATTTACGGAGGTCGAATTTTCCAGCACATATATACAGACATGACCTAAAAACATCGTTTTTTCACGTTTCATAACATTCTAGCCCATTTGCCATCAAAATTAGAAAATCGAAAAATCGGTCAAATACAAGGCTTCCATTCGGAAGCAAAATAACTTCTTTAACGTAAGTTACGTTTAGGTTTTTCTGTATTTATGGCGCTCTCAACGGAAAATGAGGCATGCAGAGGGTTAGTTATGAGGTCTCGAAGAACATTCAGAAAATCCTGCCGATGAATGTGGGTAAGTTGACAGTGATGGTGTTTAGCGGCACGTGAAAAAAGAAACTTGTGGAAATGGGAATGTGTGAGGAGGAAACATAAAGGAAGACCGGAGAGAAACGGAATAACACAACGCTGAGTGGAGAGAGCAGATTGAGAGGATTGAAAGAAGGAGGATTAAAATAAATAATGGAATTAACATCAAATGATGATGGATGATACTAATGCATGCTGATGTAATTCTGAGGTTCGCAGAGAGAAGAGAGGGAGAGAATTGTGGAGTAGGGTAGTGTGGTTTCCATTAGGAAGAATAGGGGTCAAAAAGAATCTGGAATAGTGAAAAACGGAAGAAATGCAGAGAATTTCTGAATACTGGAGAAGTCCAATTTGAAGGATATGGTCAATCAGAGTATATATGGAAAAAAGCACATAAAATATGGGATGGAGAGAGAAGAGGTGACAGGTGGTGAAATGGGAAGAGGGCGGTCTGGAAAATGGCAGAGGGAAGAACGGAACAAAGATGACTCCAGGATTTGGCATGGATATAGGAAATAATGGAAGGTCCTGCGTAAGAGCAAGCATTCTGTGAGGGTGAGACAGAAAGAGAAAATTGAAATACTAAATCAAGCCGGGAGCTCAAGCGAAGCCGTCAGCGAAGATTCTTGCTCTCATTGCAATCGTAAATCATTATCAGTCAATGACATGCGCAGGCATTGCGTAGAAGGATTAAGGGTATAGGTTAAGGGTATAAGAGAGTAAAATATGAAGTGGGCGTGGCCCATTATGGGTTGAACCAATAACTTACCGACCAATTCTCTTCTATTTATTTATTTTCCTTGCCATATATACCCTATTCGAGTTTTTATATTTTTTGCGGTTTCACGTACAGATTCTCCTGGTGACCAAGGAAACCATCGAAAACCTCGGTCGACACGGGCGTCCATCGACCGAGCTTCATCGGAAAATGGTGTCCTAACACTTCTCCGATGATGCTCGGTGTCTAGACTTCCTTTCAATGGTTTCCGAAAGATTCAAAATTTCAATTGCCCCAAAGCCAGACTCGAACCGACTCCTTACGGGTCCCGCCGTTCAGCCGAGCGATTTAACCACTTCGGCCACCGTCACCGGTTCCAATTTTCTTCTATTTGGATTTATTAGAAAAAAATCACGAACTTTGAAAGTTTCATCTAAAGAATTCAGAAACGGCTGAGATGATTTCGATTAAACTTTAATCAAACTCGAGTCATATCGAAATCGCTGGGTTGTAACAGACGTAATTCAATCCGATCGTTGTTATAGAAAAAATAGTAGAATTAAAAAATAGTATATTACGTTACCAGTGTGAAAAAGGGGGAATGTTAATACGAGTGGGGTAATGTTTTTAGGGAGAGTCGTAGGTCACGCGCAGCCGAGCGATAGACGAGACGAGACAAGCCGAGGGGGCACGAGTCGAGCCGAAGGCTCGACTTGTCTCGTCGAGTCTAGCGCGAGGCTGCGCGTGTCCTACGACTCTCCATAAAAATATTAACATACGAGTTTAACGTTCCCCCTTTTCCCCACGTGCAACGTTTACTATTTTTTGAAATAAGTGTTTGGAAAAGTCATCCTATTGTGGGATTGAAGTTTTGACTAACATGGAGGATGACGAGGGAATGCTTCATGAAATCCGAGTGGCGACCGACTAACGCGTAATGGCTGCCGTATGGCTGATGTAATTCAGTCAAGACGAGTATGGTTGAACTGAGGAGATTGTGGTCCTCAAATTTACCCCTACTTTTCCCAATCCCCACAACAATCATTGTCTCCCACCTCTGACACTCAGGGCTACAATCTCCTCAGTCCAACAGTAGACCGATGTTTTCAGCGGCGCACATAGTTACAGGAATAACGACACTGGATTGGTCGAAAACGTACCGACTGTGTCATCTTTCAAACGGTGACATAGAAGTAAACCCTAAACTTGTAACTGTAAAGTCAGCAGTTGTAAACGAAAAGTGAACCCCGTAAACGAAAAGTAAATCCCGTAAGCGAAAAGTGAATCCCATAAACGAAAAGTTACTTTTCGTTTACAACTTTAAAAGTGACGAAAAGTGCCACTTTTCGCACAAAAATCTGTAAACGAAAAGGGACTTTTCCAAGCACGTGTTTCAAAATAGTATATTTCGTTACGATTGCGGAAAAGAGTTTTTTGGCTCGTCGGAGGTTTATAGCACGAGCCGAAGGCGAGTGATATTCGCGACCGCAACATCGTTGTGAAAGCCCACTGCCCTAAACTAACTACTCTTGGGGGCTAACCAATGAAATCACTGGGAGCGAACCAATGATAGGGGTCAACCAATGAGATCATTGGGTTCCTCTTAATCTTATTGGTTGGCTCCGGAGAGTAGTTCGTTCAGAGACCACTTGATGGCTCTTACATCTACGTTGCGATCGCGAATAATCCCATGAGCCAAAAAACACTTTTCCCACGAGTATCGACCGATATTTTTCATCACAATGTGTGAAAAGGGGACGTTTTAGGCACGCGAAGCGTGCCTAAAAAGTTACTTTTTCGCACAGCGTGATGAAAATATATTTTTTCAACGTTTTTCCGGTATTTTTCGTGAATAACTCAAAAACTGCTGAGACGATCGTTGTCATAATCTAATCCAGTCTAAATTTCATTAAAATATATCGACGGAAAAACAGAATCGAATTGCATCGTTTGTTTAAGAGAAATTGCAGCACTAAAATTTCCACATACATACACACAAAAGTGGTTTTAAAATTCATAAAACGCGAAGTTCATAAAACGTTACAACAATAAAACGTTAATAAAGTGAGAAATACATATGCTAAAAAGGGAATTCTTGGATCGCTGTAGGGGATTAATAAAGATGTTTGCATTCAAGGCCATATTCATAGTGGCTGGAGACCTTCGGGTCGTAGCTGGATCCGCGAGCTATCCCTTGTAAATATATACTTAATGAATCAGTAATACCAAATGATCATTAATACTGAGGGAATCAATTACCTTGGTGACTTTCTCTTTGTGTACTTCCTCAAGTCTCATCTGGGCTTGTTTATAGCTCTGATGTTCGGATCGTGGATCAAAGTGTGTTAGATATGGATCCGGTGTCCCCTGCGGCTGAGTCGGTTGCTGTGTACTCGAGCTAACTGGTACTGGCATGGCTGTAAGTTCTTGTTTACTTTTCTCTGTGGTTGGAACAATTGTTGATGGCTTACTCCTGTAAGGAAATATAATATTGTCTTTGCTCATCTTGAAAAAGTTGAAAAGAACAGAAGATTCAGATTTCTAGTAAGAGAAAAGAAACAAACCCAACTGTTGTCGTATCGTAATCATCAAGATAAGCATCGTCTCGATCATCCTCGTAGGCTTGATCACTTAACACATCCTCAAGATCTCCGTCCGAGTTATCATCATCACTGTCAGCATCGCTGTCATTCTCGCTATCAGCATCCGAATCATCTTCATCATCCAAATCATCATCGTTTTCATCCAAATCATCGTCGACATCCTTTGGAACAGGTAAATCAATCGGCTTCTTGGGCTTCGCATTCTCTGAATAAAATGAAATTTTCAGGAAATTATTACAAAATTACTGATCATTGTCTTTAATTGGATGCGAAGACGAGTGAATAATCGCTTGAAATCCCTTTTAGATGTAGTTTCTGTTTTTTTGCTTCCGAATGGAAGCTTTGTAATCGTGATTTTTTTTTATTTCTTCATTTTGGGTGGAAATGCCTAAAAATATCATGAAACGTGAAGAAATGATATTTTTAAAAATGTCTGTGTATGTGTAGATATGTGTGCACACATGTGTGTCGTGTGTCCAGAACTGTCCCCATAACTCGAGAATTATTGAGGCAAAGATGTTGAAATTCTGTCTACTAATTGGTACTACTGAGGCTCAAATTGGTGCAAAATTTCACCCTAAGCAATGTAGTTTTATTCCCGTTTTTTCTTTTTTTCACTGAAATTGTTTGTTCGCAAAATTACTAAAAAAATAATCGAGATAGAAACTTGAAAGCTGGTATGATTTTAGGTCTTATGGTAACAACGTTTGGGATTCTGGATGAACGAAATCGGCCAATAGTTTCGGAGATATTCAACTTTGTATGTAAAAATCTTTTGCTAAATATCTCAAAAAAATTATTCACCCAAAATTCTTGAGAAAAAAAATAACGCATTTATATTTCACATCAGAATACCTGAGAAAGCCATATAATATGAACATATGGTTTTATTTTTTGAAAATATACATTGGGATCCATTCTGAAGCCTGCTACCATTGAAATTGTTAGAAATGAAAATAGGAGAAAAAAAATACATGCACGGAGAGAAATGTTCCGTAAAAATTTCGCTCTGGGATTATAGAAAAGATACGTAATTTTTATTGATTATTCTTTCCAATCAGATTTCGACCAATCAGAGTGCAGTATTTGAGGCTACCCAACAGTTTTATTTCGGATATTTCCTCTTAGCTTTTGAATATTTCGCAGTAGCTCTTCATTTATTCGGCTCATTTCAGATAGAATCTTATATTTGACAGTCCATGGAAATCGAGTTATTCTATCAACATAATTTGTTCAAATCTTCCCCAATTCAACACCTGATGTTGTCCCCCGACTAGAATTTATGTACGGTATGCCGGATCTAGCCTCCACCGAATTCGGCGCGAGCCTCGTGTATTGTCCGGCATGCCGAATAGGGTATACCTCATGTGGTTCTCATAAGGCCCAGATAAGGCATACCCCATCTGGCCAGCCGAACCCAACTTAGATAAATCGGAAGAATATTCTTCTCATCATAGACCCCTGCCCCCCACAATTTGTTTTAGGGTCAGTCGGCCATTAGGATTGCACATTCCTCCCATGTAACCAAGATAATTGCCTTACTTTTTTTTGCTAATCCACCCTCAGCATCCGTCTATACTCATCATTATATTCGTCATTGACCTCACTTGATCCTCGAGATTCTATTTTTCAACCCTTCAGGGTGACCCTTATGATCGTTTGACCCTCGAATAGGGTGATCTCATCGCTTGTATTCCATGTTAGGACTAGTGGACACTGATAAAATCCTAGCCGATTGCCAAATGTCTACCGAACGTCTGCCGAAAGTAGGAGGGGGAGGGGGGGGGGTGAATTTATAATTGGTCATATCAAACTATTTAAATGTTAAAAAACATGATAAAAATATGCATGTGCAGGCGACAGTGGTTTATATAGACAGTACGAATTTCAAAATGCACGAATAGCGCGGTAGGCTAGTTGACTAAGGCGTAGGATTAGTAATCTGTAGGTCCCAGGTTCAAAACCAGTCATGGGTGGAATATTTTAGGTAAAAAAAATCAGTTTCTTAGCGATAAATACGTTAGGGAATCAAGAGTGATAAATAACAGATGATCAATTTTGATAGCATATAATTTTCTTTTATTTTACATTATTATTAAGAATGATCGTGGATAGTCGAATCATTCATGTGTACATATATATGAAATTATTGAACCGGTGTCATTTAAAAATTTTCGGGATAATTTTGAGGGTGGCGATTGAATGAGCAATAATTGATAATAAATTACTAATAAGATGAATAATAATTTTAATTGGCCCCCACGACTCGGCTTGGATACGGCAACCACGATCCGGCCCGAACGTGAAACTCGCGTAACGCGCCTCATTTGGGCCAGACTCGGTTGACCACATCAGCACTGAACGTCAGGCTCGGCATGCCGCATCAAGACCGAAGGGTTTGCCGAGTCAAATTTCTAGTCGGGCCACTGCACTCGGCTTGACCAAAATCCGATTGGGAAAATTAATCCGACAAATACCCCTTGAGATTTAAAATTAATCGGGTATTTCCTTCAAGCTCCCTTGCAAACAAACCATCATGTCAAGTTTGCAGAAAAATCCCTCGCGCAAGCGCTCGGGATTTTTTAACCTGCAGAACTTGACACTCTCATTTGTTTGCAATGAAGCTATCGGAAAATACCCGATAATTTTGAAGTTCTTGGGGTATTACTACTGAATATTTCTCTCTATGTGGAGAGTAGCAGTCATAGGTAATCCGGCAAGTGGCTTCTGTCGCGTTGCTTGTTTCAACTCCCTCCCCCCTTTTTTTTCAACATATATATTCCTATACAGATGTCGGCCCAGATCATAGTTAATTTGAAACCTCTTCTCCTCATCTAGTTGTTGTCTTTTTGCGACATCTCTGTCTATTAATTTGTCAACGTGAGCAAGTCTATCTGTACGGTTGGGGCGAACTTTCGCCGTTTAAGCCTAGTTGGTCACCATACGAGAACCTGCGACTTTGGTCGACTCCGCAGGGATTAACCGCCGTGTTATTTAGACTCGAGCGTTGGCGAATTCACTCTACACTGCTGTCCGGTTACATTTACCGAGTTTCCGACAGCGTCGCACAACTGGCAATTTCAATGAACATGGGCAAAAATTGTCGCTGTGTTCAAGTTTGAGTAAGCTTAAATTAAAAAAAAAACAATGATTTGGTAAATATGCAAAATTAAAGACTCCACCACACATTTTTCGATAAATATCAAACGAAAAACTATTTTAACAAGCGCATGCGAGAGACGACGTGGGAACGTTGACCAAGTAAGACGTGTTTACAAACGCTCCGGCTCGGAGTCAACTTGAAATAATTCTAAGAGTCTATAGACTGGAAAGTTATCCATTATAAAATCAGATAATTCAGTGCATAAATTTGAACAATTATTGTCGAACCCCCTTTTCGCAGAAAAGGGGGTTAGCTCACGCAAATAAGTGCAAAACTCTCTCGGGTTACTTCTGACCACAGGGGTAAAGCGTAGAGACCACCATGGATCCATCCACTACAAACAACTCTTCTAGACCCAGTTACTCTCAGATTATTGAAGAATCGAATCTACCGAAGAAAGAACACTCTGTCGTACTTGATGCCATCCCTGGAATCAGAGCCAACGAGTATCCTCTGGCACTTAGTAAACTCTGGAAACAGAGTAAAATTGTTCAATCCTCAAAAATTTTGAATCAGCGAATTCTGATTGCATTAAACAACGGTTAACCAGCGGATAAATTAGCAGAGGAAGAAATGAAGTTGACTATCCGACCATGAGATTCCAATAAGAGCATACACTTCAAGTAATAAGAGACTCATACTCTCCAATGTCTTCGCGTGGATACCGAACAGAGTCTTGGAGGATAAGTTAAGAGAGATTGGAATAACACTGAAGTCAGCGATTACACTAATTAGAGCTGGGATCTCTGATTCTGAATTAGCTAACGTGAATAGTGATCGTAGGCAAGTCTACATCCCTGTGGATCAAGTCAAGAATGTTCCCCCAAAGTATCGAATTCATCATGAAAATGACACTCATTGGATCTTTCCCTCCACGGATGCAATCAAGTGTTTTATCTGTCATAAACCAGGACATCGAGCGAGGGATTGCCCAACCGACACAGTACCTGCAAACACACAGTTGGTTGAGGAGGACGACTTTGAGGACGACGAAATCATTGAAGAAAGGCCGATCGATAACCAGAACGACAACAATCTCGATCCTGACAGACGATCACAACACGGCGTGAGTACAGGTGACGGTATTGTCCTCTCACCGCCGGATAATCTACAAAACATACTCACTCAGCCCCAACAACGTCAACAAAAGCAAAAGGAGAGACTAATCGACAAAGATACAACATACCATAAACGTATTAGGTCACCAACTCAATCTCCTACCAGTCCAGTCCCCCCACGAAAAATTCTCGTAGTCAATACACAAGATGAACATGACAACACTTTGGAAGGGAGAAACAAAACAGCTGAGACGACCACAATGTCGACAGATACACTGAGAGACAACATCAATCTACAAATGGCACCATTCCAGACAGTTTACAAGCAAGATAAGTCGAGTTTTCCCATTAAGTATGAGAACTTGAAAATTTTCCTCTACAGAACACATGGTCAATTTGAACCAATGTCAATAGCATTAAGCGTTACCAGTGATATATCGGGCCTTGTCAATATGTTAAAGTCAGTCACTCAAGTAATAACTGATAGAAGTCTGAAGAGTCACATTCTTAGAATTTCCAAAAAGCTAAATAATGAAGATCGTATGTCTTCATCTTTGAGTGATATTACTGGTATATAAGGAACTATAAATTAATAACAAAAATATAAAAAAAACTAATTTAATGGCCACTCAGAATAACAGCTCTTGTAATGCTGATTACATTAAAGAGAACTTAAGTATTTTGTATTGGAATTATCGTAGCATACAATTGAGAATGAATGAATTACTTGCTGTTTCTCGGAATGTGGATGTTATTGTGTGCGTGGAAACACACATACGAGAAAACTCAACATTCCAGCCTCGATTTCCAGGTTTTAAAATCATTAGAGAAGACAGGAAACATTCAACAGGAGGTGGTGTTCTGATTGCCATTCGAAATAGGTTTTCCTATAAGAGAATTAAAACACATAAAGTTTCTGAAGACCTAATCGAAACCGTGGGAATAAATATTACCAATACTAAACCTATGTTAAGTCTCATTGGA